TAAATTCACTGTACTTCAAAAATAAAGTGTATTTTTACAATCTTGACACACGTCACTTGCGGTCCATTCAGAATGGACCTGCATCCCACTTTTGGACCGCGACCCACCAGTTGGGCACCACTACACTAAAGCACCAAATGTGGCTGAATCCACCACTGAAAATAGTCCCCAGCAGATGCAGCATTTCTTCCTGTTTGTTTGTTTGTTAAAAACAAACTATATGTGTTTGTGTTTTTACAGATATTACAGCTTTAGTTACAAAGGTTGAAAGTAACTATGTGCATCCAAGTAATGTGCTTCAGTACAAATTGTACTGACTTCACTACATTTATCTGTCTTAGTTACTAGTTACTGTACAAATTAAGATTCTTCTCTACAAAACATGTTGAGTTTATAAAATACGATGCTCAGTTATAGATTAAACAGCTGAAACAATTACTTCATTAATCAATTTGTTGATTGACAGACAATTAATGTGATTTTAATGGCTGAAGTCATTTATAATATTAAAACATTTCATGCAATTTATACAGTTAGAGAAGATAAAATACACATTTAGAGGATCTAGGGGCAAATTCTTTTCCACCTGTAATCCGGTTGTGGCGTAGGCTACTCAGGTAAACTAAAGATCATGCCTGATGCTACCTGATAGTCACATCCATATTTATCCATGTAAACAACAATATTCAATGTACAAAGTTTTTTTTCTGTTGTCTTTTTAGTTTTCTTTTCTTTGCTGTTGTTTTTTTCTGTTGATATTTAAATTCCCATCTTTATATTTGTATCTATTTCTGTTTTACACCAATTATTTTACCACTTCTTACTACTATTTTTACTATTGTCTGAGATCAGATATGATAGTGTAACAGTCACAGACATAGACAGGAAGTCATACTTATCCTTTAAGCTCAATGCACAGCTGAGACTGTTTTGGAGGAGTCTTCATATGAACTTAAGTGTTGAACAGTTACATAAAAGACCATCTGTCATTTACCAACAGGTTAATACATCAGCACCTGTCAATGACACAGATGTCCGGGCCAATCAAACATAAAGGCCCAGTGTGTTGAATTCAGGGGGATATCTTTGCAAAAATGGAATACAATCTAACAAATGTGTTTTCTTTAATGTATAATCACCTAAAAATAAGAATTGTTGTGCTTTTGTTACCTTAGAATGAGTCGTTTATATCTACATAAGTCCTTGTCTATGGAGATCGCCATGTTGCACCACCGTATTTCTACAGTAGTCGAGAATAGATGAACTAAACACTGGCTCTAGATAGGGCCATTCATGTTTTCGCTGGTTTTAATCACACAGTCCAATTGTTTTGGAGAGGAAGAGACCTCTGCAGATAATTTGGCTCCCAGTAAAATCTTCTAAACATCTGGATCTTAAGCAATTAAGGAAAAAAGGCGAGCACATATTAGCAGATGCTTGGCTGGCGGCCTGTCTGCGACATGCCAAACACCACTGGAAAAACACAGATTTATAACCTGAAACTGCTTTATTCAGTGTTTTTACTGGTTTAAATCACCAGGTCTGTTTGTTTTGGAGAGGAAGCGACCTCTGTGGATAATTCGGCTCCAGTTAAAAACCTCCTGAACAATGACAACTGATGGAGTCCTAACCAGGGGAAGTTTCAGCTGGTTGCAATCTGCAGTCCTCGCTGCTAGATGCCTTCACAGTTACGGTTGCTGTTTCCATACATCACATCAGCTCCACCCTGAATCCTCGCGTCGTCTCATGGTATCAAAAAATAATAATAATTTTGTGTCTATAAACAACTAGTAAATTCACAGTGTGTACAGCAGCTCCATCTCAGCCCTCTCTCAAGATATCCATCAGATCGAATGAAAAAACTTTCTGTGCAGCAAATCCAATTATGTCATAATCAAATAACTCCACTTACAACACTGCTCTCACTGACAACACTCTGATCATCCCACAGCTTTCTGCTGAAGACTCTGCTGCAACTGTTGGCATGAAAATAATCTGTCAGCGAGGAAAACAGAGGTGAATATCGTCCGCTTGGAACAAAAGTAAAAAGAAACATTGCTGGAAACATTCCTCAGAGACTTTGGTCCATATTGATATGATGACATCACACAGTTGCTGCAGATTTGTCAGCTGCACATCCATGATGAGAATCTCCCGTTCCACCACATCCCAAAGGTGCTCTATTGGACTGAGATCTGGTGACTGTGGAGGCCATTGGAGTACAGTGAACTCATTGTCATGTTTGAGATGATGTGAGCTTTGTGACATGGTGCGTTATCCTGCTGGAAGTAGCCATCAGAAGATGGGTACACTGTGGTCATAAAGGGATGGACACGGTCAGCAACAATACTCAGGTAGGCTGTGGTGTTTAAACCATGCTCAGTTGGTACTAAGAAAATCTCCCCCACACCATTACACCAGCAGCAGCAGCCTGAACCATTGATACAAGGCAGGATGGATCCATGCTTTCATGTTGTTTACACCAAATTCTGACCCTACCATCTGAATGTTGCAGCAGAAATCCAGACTCATCAGACCAGGCAGCGTTTTTCCAATCTTCTATTGTCCAGTTTTGGTGAGCCTGTGTGAAGTGTAGCCTCAGTTTCCTGTTGTTAGCTGACAGGAGTGGCACCTGGTGTGGTCTTCTGCTGCTGTAGCCCATCTGCTTCAAGGTTGGATGTGTTGTTGGTTCAGAGATGGTCTTCTGCAGACCTTGGTTGGAACCAGTGCTTATTTGACTTCCTGTTGCCTTTCTATCATCTTGAACCAGTCTGGCCATTCTCCTCTGACCTCTGGCATCAACAACCATGCCATGTTCAAAGTCACTTAAATCACCTTTCTTCCCCATTCTGATGCTCTGTTCGAACTTCAGCAGGTCGTCTTGACCATGGCTACATGCCTAGATTCATTGCTGCCATGTTATTGGCTGATCAGCTATTTGACTAACTAACACACCGTGTATCTTTGGCTTTAGTGGCCACTGGGAGTCCAGGGCCTTGTGAGACACTATCGGGGGGCTCTGTAGGGCAAAAATGAGTGGATCTTCCACACTGTGTGCACTGGGTGTTGACTATGCTTCTGGTGTTTGGGGTTTTGAGAACATACAAGTTGTAACACGGTGCATTAAAAAGCGATTCGATCCTCCCTGGGTGTCCATACATTTACTTCAGTATGGCCATTAGTTGAGATATGGGATGGGAACCTCCGAAGACTGGTGAAGATGCCGGATCAGAGACTCACTAAAAAAATATTTCACTGGGTTAGTGAGCGTTAGTGAGTTAAAATCATTGTTTAATTTGAACAATTTATCATGTAGATCATAGAACTTATTGTCTCATAAAGAATAACTACAGTGTGGAACCTTACGTGAAGCATAAGATCCCTGTGTGCACAGTTGCACTCAGGAACGTTATCATTAGTATCAGAGACTGGAGGGTTTAACACCACCACAGAGGAGGACAGAACTTGTTTGGTGTGTCATTTAGGTGAAAATTGATGACTTCTGTCTATGTTGATTTCTTTTGCTTGGACGATCCTGAAAAATGTGAGTTTTGTTGCAGAAAGGGAACCTTTTTTAGTGGCTGATTTTTTTTTTTTGCCAGGCAGAGAATTCTGTTTCTGGACTGAGTAGTTAAATAACATGTACTTTATTTTGTTACTATGTCATTGTAGATGTAAGTGTGCATGACACAAATAAAAATCATTCAAATCATATTTTATTATTATTATATTTTTAATTTAATTTTATTTTATTAATTTAATTTAATTTAATTTAATTTAATTTATTTTATTTTATTTTATATTATTTAAGTTTATTTTATTCTATTCCATTTCATTTTATGTTTTTATTACGACAAGGCCAGTGAACCTGGAGCCTCTGGGTGCCCTGAGCAAAATCTGAATTTTTAATCTTCACAATTTTCACCTTAAATGTTTTTTTGTTGTTGTTGTTTTTTATAGGGATGATGCAATTAAACATAGTTCCAATATCCAGTACAGAGTACGGGACTGATGTGTTGCACAGAGAGTTTACAGCTGTTGCTACTTTTCAACTCTTGTCCCTCACTGGGCTTTTACACGTAGACCTAAAATGTTGTTAAGAGTACACACTTTAAAACATCATACATTAACAACCACAGTGCACTATAAACATTGAATTAAAATACATAAATCACAATCCACACACTACAATACACACACCACAGTACACCAAAACGCTTACACTCACACCCCTTAAAGGTTTGAGCACATTCAGAGTGGTTGAGCTCCAGTTTGCTTTCAACCAGCATCTGACCTTTGTTGTGAAGGATTTTATCATCATGAACACATGGAAGTCCTGGTTTGTGTATTTTAAGTCATATTTATAAAAATCTGGAGTAAAACAGTGAGTTTTGTGGCTGAGCGCCAGACAGCCGACTCACTGCTGACATATCTGCATCACCCTCCTGCAGGGCCAGCTGGTAATATTCATACTAGCAGTGATCATCAGAGCAGAGTGGTGCAGCCAGTGCTCATGCTGAAACAGCCGGCCCTCTGCATGCAGCCTGACTCCCTGCAGGCCCTCCACCTCCACCTCCATCCCCATCTCCAACCAGCCTGGATGATGCTCCTGTATTTACTGTGCTTAGGTGTGTTTAAAGCTCCCTGCTGTCCCTTCTGCTCCAGCACACAATGTCCATCTGCCTGACCAGCAGCCTGTTCCTGCACTTCATATATTTCAGCCACGTAAGCACTTACAACTCAGTTTGATGTGAACACACATGCAAACAAACATGGAGTCCCTCATTTTCTTATGACCAGTGCTACCAAACTATGATCTGCCCCATCAGTCCAGGGGCCACAGAGGATTTCAGCTTTATTCTAACAGTTGTTTGTAAAGTATCAGCCCTGCAGAAACACAGTCAGACGGCTCTGAGTAGTTTTTGTAAAGTTGTGCAGTGATAAAATAAAGAGCAGAGCTGATCCCAAGTGGCAGCAGCTCTCTTGTTTTCCTGCCTCACCTATGATGATGGTGCAGGCGCTCAGCAGCCCGATCTCCTTCTTCAGAGTCACTCTGTCGGGGATTTTCTTCTTCTTCTCCTTCTTCTTCTTGCCGTCCGTCACGGTGCCGTGCGGCCGGGAGCAGATGCTGCTGCTGCCGTTCTGTCCATCCATGTCCGCCTGCCCGGGTCCGGTCCGGTCCGTCCAGTCCACTGTGTCCTCCCAGTCCCAGTACTCCCAGTGCTCCTGTCCTCTCCTCGCTCCGTATTCATGCAGACTGAATGGGCTGCGCTTGCGCAACAACCTGCCGCTGTCCAGGGTAGAATGTTAAATACCCTGGACTCACCATGAGGCGTTCAGGGACACCGGGAGGAACCGTGATGCTGCTGTCAGGCTACCTCCTCCAGGTGGAGTGTTTCTGTTTCAGCTCCTTGAAGAGTCCTTTAGATGAAGTCAGAGAAAACACTCTTCTGCGGAACTCAAAAGCAGTGGTGGAAAAACAAACAAACAAACAAACAAACAAACAAAGTCCGAATGATACCACAAATTTATGAGAAACATAAATAATACAAACTATAAATAATACTACAATAATTGTATTTGTATTTGCAAAAAATAGAGAATAGCACGGTGCAAAAATATTGAAATATAGATAATAGTTAAGTGAAAAACATTTTTTGAAAAAAGTTAACAGGTGCAAAATATGAAAAAATAGATAATAGTAAAGTGTAAAATAATAAAAAAAAAAATATTTAAAAGAACTAGGTAACAGTAAGGTGCAAAACAAGGTATCAGTAAGGTGAAAAATATATTTAAAAACTAGATGACAGCGAGGTGCAAAATATAAAAAAAATAGATAACACTAAGGTGCAAAACATATTTTAGAAACACATAACAGTGAAGTGCAAAATATAAAAAAACCTAAATAACAGTAAGTGCAATATATATATATATAAAAAAACCCTAAATAACAGTAAGTGCAAAATATTTTTTAAAAACTAGATAACAGTAAATGCAAAAATATAAAAAAAAAAACACCTAAATAACAGTAAGGTGCATAACATTTAAAATAAAAAATAGATAACACTAAGTCGCAAGATATAAAAAACAGACAGAGAGGTGCAAAATATGTAAAAAATAAATAAATAAATAAAAAACAACAACTAGAAAACAGTAAGGTTCTAAATATTAAGATATTAAAGAACAACTCGAGAAAAGTAAGGTGCTAAATAAATTTTTTTTAAAAAAACCCTAGATAACAGTAAGGTGCAAAATATTAAAAAAAATAGATGACAATGAAGCGCAAGATATATAAAAAAATTTGATAACAGTAAGGTGCAAAATATTTATTTATTTATTTATTTTTAAAAACCTAGAAAACTAAGATATTTTTAGATATAGACTAAGACTAAGATATTAAAAAAATGGAAAACAGACAGAGAGGTGCAAAATATGTAAAAAGATAAAAAATATTAAAATATTAAAAAACAACAGAAAAATAAGGTGCCAAATATATATATATATACATATTCATTAACAATGAGTTGGAACTACAATTCATATACTTTCACTGTAGAAACAGGAAGAAGAAACAAAAAATTAAAACTCACTCGTCATTTCAACGATGTGAACGATTTTTCTGTAAAAGACAATAAAGCTCCCTCACAGAGCTCAGAGCTGCACTGAGAGGCGGAGCAGCAGTGGGCTGCATCGTCATATTTCCTGAAATGAAACTTAAAGTTCCTCTGAGCTAAAGCAGAGCTGCAGCCGAGACAAGTCTCTTTATATCTCTCCAAAGAAACATTCAACTGAACCCAGAGGGTTTTCTCAACAACGCACACTGGTGAGTTCACTGACCTACAGACACAATCGATCAAGTGAATCCTCGCTCATATAAACACAGAATTAAAAACAACAATACCAGATAAACGTGTCGTGCTAAAAGCTAACGGCCCAGCTGAGATTCCCGTTAGATTGCCCAGTATACACAGTATAACAGATTTCATCCTGTACAGCTCATGAAGGCATAAAACTGATGTTTTAAGATAAAATCAGACAAAACGTTGCTTATACCGAGGGTAATTACTGTGCAGCTGTGCCAATAGCGTGAACTTAAGTGGGAAGAGTGCCTTAAATATAAAAGGTTATATAAACAGTGCCAAAGTAAGGTTTACAGTATGAATCCTTAAATTATAATCAGTTTAACAGTTTGGATCAGTCAGGGTGGGGTTGCACATCTATGTACAGCTATATCACAGTTTACACAGTTAAATGTTCATGTTATTGTACTAAATGGCTCATTATTGAACATTAAGGCCCATTTGTGTGTCAGTTGTGAGGAGCTGAGTTGAAATGATAAAAAATATGATGAGATGGACAGAAATCCAGAGGGAAAAGAGGGAGAGACAGACAGAGGGAGAGGGAGAGGGCGGTTGTGCCTAGTTTTGTTTGTCTTTGTGGATCAATACAGCTGATCATATTTACTTTCAACAACTGGTATGAAGTCAAAACCTGAGATCCTGAGATAATTGAGGTCCATCGGTGGCCGTGGCGGTTGTGGAGGGAAATCATTTTATATATAATTTCCTGCAGTCCAGAGCAGCAGCCTCCATCTTTTCTTCTGCATATGTGTCTGACTGTCTGCTCTCTGAAGCTCTCTGTACCTCCTCTTCCTCCTCTTTGTCCATCTGATAATCTGACTCTATATGTTCACTATAATCACAATACTATAAGCAGCAAGCTAAGAGTATTATTATTTAATGTGTGATGCAACAGTAACGGAGGGATCACATTTTGTTTTGGGGGGTTTGAAATTGAATTTAGTGATGAATTTGCAGATTTAAATTCTGATATTAACAACAAGCAGCCTGGGATGTTATCACCACAATCCTGAAGACATCCCATGAGTTTATTATTGTTTCATAATGGGATGCACAATATATATTGGGCTGATAGATGTGTGGGAATATGGAAATTAATATTACCGTAAAACTTCTATTAGCAGTCTGGGCTATTATTTGCACTGAACTCAACAGGCCTTTATTTGGGACAGGTGTCTATATGGGACAGGCCTCTAATTCCTTTTACACAAAACTGTTGCTCAGCAAAGATGGGAAATACTACAAAATAATTTGTTTATCTGAATCAGTATGAATATTACTTGTATAAAGATTAGGCTTTCACATAAGTATGTGTTATGTGATGACACTTGTTTTACGGCACCTGGCATACGTACCTGGCGTACATACCCGATACAACACCACTTTCTCCTGATAAAATAATATTCATAACTTGGATTATTTTATGAAAAACATGATTCCTTTAATTGATGGACCCTTGTGGACTAAAGAAATATAAATAAATTAATGGGTTATCAAGGAATGGACACATATTCTGACTTTATGACAGCTTCAGAGGAAGGGAGTTTTTTGTGCCTGTAAATCTGAATGAATTATGGTCTTCTCTGGTGCTCATGGTTTTAATAAGATTAAATCAACCGATTGAACTATGTGTAGCATCTCCGTATTGACAAAGTTTCAACATTTATATTTGTATGTGCGATCTAAACTGCTAAGTGTCAACAATCTGGTTACATCCAAACAGCTTCTATAAAAATGAACTGCTTGGCAACCGGACCAGGCCTCTAATTTAGACAGGCCTTCATTTGTCAAAATGTGTAGCTACACCAGGCTAATAAAAGAGCCTGGGCATTTTTTAATTGAATTTTTACGGTATTATTTATTATTAATAATAAGATTAAAGAAGCCAACTTGCTTTCATTGCTTTAATTGGCATAACACCTACACTGCCAATAAACACAGCGAAGAGAAGGAAGAGCAAGAGCAGCATGCTAACTAGAGAGCCAAACATGTTGTCCCCAGTGTGGACGTTTTCCACAGTTTTCTGAGGAAGACAACACTGATAAGATGTTAAGACAAATACTGGCTAAATACATCACATTAAGTAGTAATAAATGCCTTAACTTCACTTAAAATGTTATGCCTTTTTAAAAAGGTAAATAATAAAAAGATATGTGATTATAGTTTTGTTTTCTCACACTTTTTGTCCTCAGAGTGTAGACATGGCTGCTGCCAGCTGTCTGCTGACTGAACATCAGTTCCTGTGCTCCATCTGTCTGGATGTGTTCACTGATCCAGTCACCATACCATGTGGACACAACTTCTGTAAAACCTGCATAACTGAACACTGGAACGTTAATGCCCCGTGTCAGTGTCCTAACTGTAAAAAGCTTTTCAACACAAGACCAGAGCTTCATGTCAACGCTTTCATCTCTGAGATGGCTGCTCAGTTCAGACAGTCAGCTCAACAGAAAGCCAGCAGCAGCAGCTCAGAGCAACAAGTTTCCAAACCAGCAGAAGGTCTCTGTGACATCTGCACTGGAACCAAACTGAGGGCACTGAAGTCCTGCCTGGTGTGTCTGGTCTCCTACTGTGAGACTCACCTGGAGCCTCATCTGAAAATGTCACGGCTGAAAAAACATAAGCTGATCGACCCTGTGGAGAACCTGGAAGACAGGATGTGTAGAGAGCATGATAAACTTCTGGAAATGTTCTGTAAGGATGACCGCATGTGCATCTGCATGCTCTGCACTGTTTTGGATCACAAGACACATGATGTTGTTCCTCTGAAGGAAGGATATGAAGGAAAGAAACTCGAGCTGGAATCCGAAATTCAGCAGATGATCCAGAAGAGACAACTGAAGATTGAGGAGATCAAACGCTCAGTGAATCTCAGTCAGAGAGGTGCAGACAGAGAGATAGCAGATGGTGTTCAGGTCTTCACTGCTCTGAAGGAGTCTGTTGAGAGAAGCCAGGCCGAGCTCATGGACACGATCAAAGAGAAGCAGAGAAAGACAGAGAAACAGGCTGAAGGCTTCATTAAAGAACTGGAACAGGAAATCTCTGAGCTGAAGAAGAGAAGCGCTGAGGTGGAGCAGCTCTCACACTCTGAAGACCACCTTCACTTCCTCCGAAGCTTCTTGTCCTTGAACACTGCTCCACCCACCAAGGACTGGACAGAAGTCAATGTCTGTCCAACTACATTTAAGGGGACAGTGAGGAGAGCTGTGAATCAGCTGGAGGAGACACTTAATGAAGAGATAACGAACCTGTTTAAGGCTGAGCTGAAGAGGATCCAGCAGTATGCAGTGGATGTGACACTTGATCCTGATACAGCACATGGCTGGCTCATCATTTCTGATGATGGAAAACAAGTTAAACATGGTTATATAAAGAAGGATCTCCCAGACAATCCAGAGAGATTTGATTCTTTTTTTGCTGTGTTAGCAGAGCAGAGTTTCTCCTCAGGAAGATTTTACTATGAGGTTCAGGTTAAAGGGAAGATTCACTGGACTTTAGGAGTGGCCAGAGAGTCAGTCAACAGAAAGGGAGAGATCACACTGTTATCACAGAATGGTTACTGGACGATTTCTAAGAGGACTGAAAATGTGTACTGTGCTGAGGATGATGATTTTAAAGTCACTCTCTCTCTGAAGTCTCAGCCTGAAAAGGTGGGAGTGTTTGTGGATTATGAGGAGGGTGTGGCCTCCTTTTATGACGTTGATTCTGCAGCTCTCATCCATGCTTTTACTGGCTGTTCCTTCACTGAGAAACTCTACCCACTTTTCTGTCCTTCTTATGTCATCTACCGATCATTCTTCCAGTATATGGATAAAAACACTGCCCCAATGATCATCTCTCCTGTCAGTCACACTGAGTAGAACAACCATTTCATTTTCAACAGACAGATTCACTAACATTTAATGTCACAAATGTAAATTCTTCCTCCACTTTATACAGAAGATTGGAAAAACGTTGCCTGGTCTGATGAGTCTGGATTTCTGCTGCCATTGCTGCTGTATTGTTGCTGACCGTGTCCATCCCTTTATGACCACAGTGTACCCATCTTCTGATGGCTACTTCCAGCAGGATAACACACCATGTCACAAAGCTCACATCATCTCAAACTGGTTTCTTGAACATGACAATGAGTTCACTGTACTCCAATGGCCTCCACAGTCACCAGATCTCAGTCCAATAGAGCACCTTTGAGATGTGGTGGAACGGGAGATTCTCATCATGGATGTGCAGCCGACAAATCTGCAGCAACTGTGTGATGTCATCATGTCAATATGGACCAAAGTCTCTGAGGAATGTTTCCAGCACCTTGATGAATCTGTGACACCAAGAATTAAGGCAGTTCTGAAGGCAAAAGGGGTCCAACCCAGTACTAGAAGGTGTACCTAATAAAGCGGCCAGTGAGTGTATATATATACTCGGGATGTAGGGTGGATGCTTTTTTTTCTCAGATGTTACCTACATATCTGTTAATATTTCTTTGATGTACTACGTTGTAACTTGATACTATAACACACCAATTTTACCACATTAATACATATTATCCAATGAAGTCTGATTTATACTAATAACTACATTATCTGCCTTCAACAATATTAAATGATCAGAAAATAATGTAATCATGAATAAAAGACATAATCATGTTCAATAGACATATAATCATAGACTGTATAAGAAGTGTTGCTCAAATGACTGAAGAGCAGTTTATGAATCAGACGAAAGTCATTTTCTTTTCTCATTGTAAATAAACAAATGCAAAATTAAGTGTTAATTGTGTCTGATGAAGTTTTTTCTTTTGTATATCAAAGCTGAAAAATATCTGATGGTGTTTCTAATGACCAGATCAGGTTTGAGTTGTTGTTGTTGTGTTGTGTTCAGCTGATATGAGCACAAAACCAGTGCTCCCAGTGTGTCAAGAATAAGTGAGATCTGAGGTCGCCCTCTAGTGGAGTTCATAACAAACTGCAGCCTGTGGCTACATGAGGACATGCTCTGAATAAATCAGTCTGATGGTGAAGCAGATTACACAAATACAGGAGAACTACGAAATCTAAATCTGACTGGTGCTCAGTCTGATGTGATTGACAAGTTTTTTAGTGTGTGTTTTATAGTTTTTGAGGTTATTCTAAAATCAGAAACTTAATTTTAACTTAAGAAGACTTTTGTTGGAAAGTATTGAACTTTAGCTACCCTTAAAAAGGAGAATCACAGAGACACATGTTAATCTACTGCTGCTGCTTATTTTCCTCCTTCTGATATAATCCATGAGAAACGTTTGAGACAGAGAAAAGGTGCTCAACACTTTGAAGAGCAGAAGGGAAGTGCAGAGGGGTTACTTACTATGATGGATCACAGACTGTAGTGTGTGAAACAGATAGAAACTGAAATGGTCAGTCAGAACAGATTGGCAGGGACAGGAATTAACAAAGTACATTTATTGAAATACAAAAGTACAAAAAATCAGATTGCCAGACTTTAAGATTTATGTTTTTGGAGGCGTACTACTTTTTAATAGGGAAATATCATACTTTTTACTCCACTACATCTATCTAACAGCTTGAGATGCTGATTACTTTGTAGATTCACATTTTAAATTCAACAGGACAAAAAAACTCATATTGCTGTTGTTCTGTAATCCTTTAACTGCAGCGATTGACTGATTACATTTTTATGGTCAAAAGTCAAAGGTCATTGTGACCTTGCATCTGTCACATTCTCTTGAACGCGATACAGTATCTCAAGAAGGCTATGAGAGAATTTCCTCAAATTTGGCACAAAGTCAAATGAACTGATTAGAATATGGTGGTTGAAGGTCAAAGGTCAAGGTCACTATGACCTCACAAAACATCATTGGCCATAACTCAAGAATTCATGCGCTAAATATGACAATATTTCACACAAATGTCTAACAGGATAAAACAATGAAGTGATGACATTTTATATCCAAAAGGTCAAAGGTCAACTTCACTGTGACATCATAACTCTTTTCTGGCCATTACTCAACGTCTTATCTCAGGAACAGAAGGGGAGACATTTGGTCAGACACCGAACTGTTGACTCTAATCTTGAAACTGTGCTGATTGTGTAGATCTTCTGTGCTGCCGCGCTGAAGATGTGAGTGAAGCATCCTCGTTTTCACAGATATGGATGTAAACTGCAAGTGCAACTTGACTGCTTTGCAAATGCAGACATCTACAAGGTGTTAGTCCTACTTTGAGTAATATTTTGAGAAATAGTAAATTTTGCCTTGACTGCCAAAGTACGTGTTTTGGAATGAAAATCCTCATGTTAACATGATTAATCTGAGCCTGGTGATCTCGTAGAAATACCACTGCTGAACTCCATTTCTGAGGTCTCTGTCTTTCACAGACAGCATAGTCCTTGACCACATAATGAGCTGTCTTAGTCAATCACGGGCTGAACTCATGCAGATTGCAGCCGCAAACTCATAGACAGCCACAGCTCATATTTGTGTTGCACCATTTTCTCAGTAAGTTTGGCCCTCAGGTGCAATTTAACAACAGAATGAATACACTCCACTGATCTTAGTTTAATTTTATGAAACCATTGATCAAAAGATATGTAATCACATTTTTGTTTTCTCACACTTTTTGTCCTCAGAGTGTCGATATGGCTGCTGCCAGCTGTCTGCTGACTGAAGATCAGTTTCTGTGCTCCATTTGTCTGGATGTGTTCACTGATCCAGTCACCATACCATGTGGACACAACTTCTGTAAAACCTGCATCACAGAACACTGGGATATTAATGTCCAGTGTCAGTGTCCCAACTGTAAAAAGCTTTTCAACACAAAACCTGAGCTGCAGGTCAACACTTTGATCTCTGAGATGGCTGCTCAGTTCAGACAGTCAGCTCAACAGAAAGCCAGCAGCAGCAGCTCAGAGCAACAAGTTTCCAAACCAGAAGTTCCCTGTGAGACTCACCTGGAGCCTCATCTGACGATGTCAGGCCTGAAAACACATCAGCTCATTGACCCTTTGGAGAACCTGGAAGGCAGGATGTGTACGAAGCACAATAAACAGCTGGAGCTGTTCTGTAAGACCGACCAGTTGTGTGTCTGCATGCTCTGCACTGTTTCAGCCCACAAGAAACATGATGTTGTTCCTCTGAAGGAAGAATATGAAGGAAAGAAGGCTGAGCTGGGGAAGACAGAGGCTGAAACTCAGCAGATGATCCAGAATAGACAACTGAAGATTGAGGAGATCAAACACTCAGTGGAGCTCAGTAAAGAAGATGCAGACAGAGAGATAGCAGATGGTGTTCAGGTCTTCACCGCTCTGAAGGAGTCTGTTGAGAGAAGCCAGGCCGAGCTCATGGACACGATCAAAGAGAAGCAGAGAAAGACAGAGAAACAGGCTGAAGGCTTCATTAAAGAGCTGGAACAGGAAATCTCTGAGCTGAAGAAGAGAAGCGCTGAGGTGGAGCAGCTCTCACACTCTGAAGACCACCTCCACTTCCTCCAAAGCTACACGCTCCGGAACACTGCTCCACCCACCAAGAACTGGACAGATGTCAATGTTCGACCAACTACATTTAAGGGGACAGTGAGGAGAGCTCTGAATCAGCTGGAGGAGACACTTAATGAAGTGATAACAGACCTGTTTAAAGCTGAGCTGAAGAGGATCCAGCAGTATGCAGTGGATGTGACACTTGATCCTGATACAGCACATCCAGATCTCATCTTGTCTGAGGATGGGAAACAAGTTAAACATGGTGATGTGTTGAAGAGTCCCCCAAAAAATCCTAAGAGATTTGATACTTGTTTTAATGTCCTAGCAAAGCAGAGTTTCTCCTCAGGAAGATTTTACTTTGAGGTTCAGGTTAAAAGAAAGACTGACTGGGATTTAGGAGTGGCCAGAGAGTCGATCAAGAGGAAGGGAGAAATCATGCTGAGTCCACAGAAAGGTTACTGGACGATATCTTTGTTGAATGAGATTCAGTACTACGCTCAAGCTGGCCCTGATGTCAGTCTCTCTCTGAAGTCTCAGCCTGAGAAGGTGGGAGTGTTTGTGGATTATGAGGAGGGTCTGGTCTCCTTTTATGACGTTAATTCTGCAGCTCTCATCTACTCCTTTACTGGCTGCTGCTTCACTGAGAAACTCTACCCATTCTTCAGTCCTTGTAATTTTGTCTTCAAATCGTTCCCATTTATGAATAAAAACTATGCCCCGATGATCATCTCTCCTGTCAGTCACACTGAGTAGAACAACCCTTTGACAGATTCATTAACATTTAACGTGATAAATGTATATATACTGGGGATGTAAAGTGGATACATTGTTTTTTTTTCCAGATAATTTCTATTTTTTGTCAATATTTCTTTGATGCATCACAATGTTATTTAGTACTTATAACACACCAATTTTACCACATTGATCTGTATTATCCATTGTAGTCTAATTGAAGTATAACTGCATTACCTGCCTTCAAGACTATTAAATCATATCATAATCACTTCATTCAGTGTTTTTACCAGATTAAATCACCTGGTCTGTTTATTCAGGAGAGGAAGAGACCTCTGTGGAAAATTTAGCTCTCAATTAAAACCTGCTAAACAAAAAGCACTTTCAGCTGGTTGCAATCTGCAGTTCTTACCACAATAGGTCACCAAATCCCCCCTTAATTTTACACACTGAACCTTTAAGTGTAAGAATTGTTTTTGTTAGGTAAGAGATATGTTCAGTAGGTCTGATGGAGGCTGCAAGAGTTACAACTACTGTTTCTAATTTTGGCCACAAGATGGCAGTGTTAAGTGAGTCCACTGTTACTGCAGCAGGTATACTTTGGGTCTACCTTTAGTTTCTTGTTAATTCCTGTGGATAACGTGGAGGACTGCATGATGGA